AGAGTATTTGGGGACTGGCATGAAGTGATGGTCAGAACTTCATCTTATTTTGTTATATTCGTAAAGGGGGAATATAAGTGGGTTTTAAGTTTTACCTGCAATGGAAGTGCAGATTCTGCCCTGAGCAAGCACTGGTTTCTTGATCCTTGGAAATCACATGAACTGGAAGGAATTTCAGATATATTTTTGATTTAAGAAGTCTCTGTATTTATTTGGCATTGTATTGTGTCGCAAGTACCCAAAAATGTTGCTTCCATTGGTGTCTGTGGCTAACAGAAATCCCCAGGAGGTTTCCACAGATATTTAGAATGCCTTAAGCTGAAAGTATTTAAAATCAAAACAATTTTCATGCCTAAAAAGAACTGAATTAATTATGGCTTACGGCAACTTGGGCCTCTGTGTATGGTGAGGGAGGGAGAGGAAAGATATCCTTCATGCCTACAACGAAGGGATGCGATATTTCCATCTTGTAGTGTTTGGTGTTGATTATATTCCTTTTGCAAAGTTCATTTAGTCATGGGCATTTTCATGCTGCCAAATGCTGGCTGTGTGGGATCTTTGGAAGAATCAAACAGGAGAAAGATAGGACAAAATAAAATATTTACTACTTCTTGGGGTAGGGGGTGAGCATTTCATTTTCTGTTTGCAGCCCTTCTCTTCCTAGTCATGACTCTCTAAGCAGTTATTTCCATTTTCTTTTCTGCAATCTCTTTAATTTTTCATTTTGATAGTCCAGTGTTCTGAAATGGGAAAAGTGAAGGCTGCAATTCTTCCTGAGCTTCTCCAAATATTAAGACAATGCCACAAGTACAAAGTGCCAGGAAGTACAATGAAAAATGCTGCACTGCCGAATGCTGGGTTTGGTCAAAGTGTTCCTGAGGGATCCTGAGTAAGGCCTTAACTCTCCCCATAGTGCAATGGAATCTGGATGGCAAATATAAAGGGGCAGAAAGCACATCAGCAAGCAAACTGTCCAGGCTTCTGTCTATCCCTCCTATAGTCTGAAAGCAGCAGACCTCTCCAAGGTATCACCCTTAAAAGACCATGTTGCGCAGGACCTCTGATGTTCAGGCTTCTGTGAAGTTATTGCTATTTATTTAGGCTTGAGGATTTTAATCAAGTACTTATACCAGCAGTCTTTTGTGCCAGATAACCATTAGTAAAGATGGAAAATATGGAAAGGAAGGGTGTCCAAAATAACTGGTTACACCAACTGCAGATTAAACTAACTTGAGTATATTTTTTCCAGAGTATCTCACTGGTAGTTTGTTATTTAGGTTGCTGAAGTATGCTGCCCCTGAGTAAACATCCTAAAAATCTGTTAATTAAAGAGAACCTCTGTATTCATTAATGTTGTAGGCATTTATAAACATTATTCCAGCTTAATCATAGCTGCTGCCCTTTGGCTTCATGAGTGGAGTGAGGGAGAGAATATGCAACTGATATTTCATCTTGAAAACTGCAGGCTTTCTTTTGACTTCATCTCATAAGCACTAAGTTGGAACTGGATACACTTAAGATGAAGGCAGTAAGGACAGTTGTGAGTATGGAACATCTTTAGTCTGAGAAAAGACTAGGATAGGAATTTTCTTACTGGAACAAGTTGTACAAAATGTATGTTGGAAAACCTCAATATGAGGAAAGGTGAACAGGATTTTTTTTCATTTTAATGAGGAAGACCCTAAATTATCTCAATAAAATGATGAGATATATTTTTCAAAGAAACAAGAGGAATTTTGTTTTTCAGGTTGCAAGTAATTAAATATGTGGAACTCATGGCATAGGGCCTATGGGCATTGAGAAAAGCATAAAAAAGGAATCAAAAAAGGAGCTAGACAAAGTCAAGAAGTACAGGTCTGTCACTCTCTAATCAAGCTTAATAGCTGTGACATAGAATCTGTAGTTAAGAATTTCAAAGCCTTTCACAAGCAGCATTTGGTAAATGGAAAGCTCCACTAACTCTTTATTATCGTTCTTGTGCTTTTCTCATAAGCATCCCAGATTGCCCACTACCGAGGGTGTGATGCCAGACAAGACCAACATTTGGTCTGTCATGATATACAAGTTCTTCTGTGCTTGGAAAGTATGAAATAGTCTCATACTCATGACTGGTGTAAGCTGTCATGGAGGACCTTGGAGGGTGTGAGAGACCCTGACAAGGACAAGGACTGGTTTGATGTCAGGGGCATTTAGCTAAAATGGTGTCTTGTAGCTCTCAGAGGAATTTTTGTTGTAATAGTTACAGACACAAAGGTAGACTTTAGATTGCTTACTTTTCTCTCTGTTTCCAGTACTGCACGTTCAAAGCATGAAGTAGAATTACAAATCAGTTCCTTTACATCTCTAAAACACGATGTTGGCTTAAAAATCACGATGCTTGAAAGAAAAATAAATGTTGGGTTTCTTTTACTTGTCTTTCTGATGTTTCACCCTATGAAGTTTGTATAATCTTTCTTAAAACTATATCCTTTCTCTGGAGGCATTTCAACTCTGCAAAACTGAAATACTTATGAACCTAGAAATGAGGACATTAAAAACCCACTAAATTTCATAAGTGACACTTTTTCTATGTTTCCCTGAAGGTCTGCCTGCTCACTTCTAATAGAATCCTAAATGGATTTAATAATTTACCTTTTGTAAAATAACCCAGAAAACCATTAGCAGAGTGGAAGTCTGGGCGCCTCTGGCATTAGACTGAACCAAGCATGCCCATGGCCTGCAGCTCTTGTGGTTTTCTTTATGTTCCTGTATTGGATGGTCCTTCCTTCTCCTGCCATATCACTTGAGCTGCTGCTCAAGCCATACCTGATGCTGTTGCTGCTGCTGGAGGCACGTGTCAGAGCTGGCAGAAAGCTGACAGAGACTTTTAAGTTACTGAATTTGCATAATGGTACTTAAGGGGGGGGGGGGGGGCTGGTAGTTTTTCCATTTAAAGTCATCTTATTATCTGGACATCAAAAGTTTGAAACTTTGAAATTTTTCTGATTCTCCAAGGTGCCAGTATGGTGCTAGTTTCAGGAGAGTGTTACAGAGGCGTTCAAAATGAACACAAGTGTCTGCCAGCCTTGTTTTGGTAACAGTTGGGAGAGAAATAGAAGAAATGGTGTTTTAATTATTAGCAATGAGAATGGTGATTAAGAATGTCTTGATGGAGAAATTTTACACAAGAAACTGCAGCTTAGTGACTCTGCATGATAGATGCTGACCCAATTTTTGGCAACTTAGAGCCATAAACATCATCCTTGATGTTTCAGACTCAGCATCTGGTAAACTGTCTTATGACTTTTAAAAATTAATGCACAGAGGGATAAAAAACTACTGTACATCAGCATGTGTTTGTTTTCTGTCTAAATGCAAATGCTACATCCTCTAACAAGTCCATAAATATATTGTAGAACTTAAAAATAAAATAAAAGATTTTTTTATAGTTGATGGGGTGGTGGCGAAATCCAAATATTTCCTGTTTGTGATGTTACATGCTGCTTGTTTAAAAAAATCTCTGAACATATATTACTTGTTCATGGTTGTCTCCATCAGTCAAAATATCATTCTTTATTCAGATGAATAAGCAAGGCTTCAGATTTATTAATATCATCTTTTTAATGTTGTGCTGAAAAGGGCATCATGTCTGTGGTTGCAAATGTGATAACTTCAGGGAATTTGTGACCATCACTGCTTTGTCATTCCAAAGACATTGATTTTTTTATTTGTATAAATCTACAGCACAAGGTTTGTGGCTCATTGATTTGAGTACTGCATGCTTATATGGAAGCAACTAAATGCCAAACTGGAGATGAATTCAAGCTTTTGGGCATACTTAAGTAAGCACTGGGCATCTCAAGACTGAGCAGTCTGAATGTCAGGAATCTTTCTTGGAGCACCCTTTTGAAAATACAAAATTTTCCGCAGAAAGTCTTGTGTTTACTGATCCCTCTTCAGCATTCTAAAATACAGACATCTGTAGATGTAGGTTATTTCTGTGGCAGTAACACCTATTAAATGAAAAATCGACTAAAATCTGTTGTTTTGAAAACGTGTACTTCTGAATGTCCCCTTTCTCTTTCCTTCTCTCTCCACCCCCTGCCCCCACCTCTCTGGATTTGGGAGATCCTAAGGACAGACAGTGTGAAAATATAAAATGCATAGCTGCTCTGTGCAGCAAAAAGATTGCTGCTACTGCTAAGAATTTGTTCTTCCTGTTTGTTACTTAAAAAAAAAAAAAAAAAAAAAGGCAAGCGTGCAGGATTTTTCCCATGCAGTAATTCAGGAATGCTGCAAGTGATTAGTGTGTCGAAGCTTGCATTTCAGTTTAAAATATGAAAAAAAGCCTTAAGAAAATGCAGTCAAAAGTCCTGAGCAGTGGCACACTGTAAAGCAGGAAATCTCCTGCACACAATAGAGATTAAATGCTCCCTGTGCATACTGTATTCTGCTCAGCCCTCTGCGTTCGGAGCTGGGACCGTGGCAGTCGTTATCTCTAGCAGGTTCCTTGGTGATTTTCAAGCCCTGCACTACCTACCCAAGTGGCAGTGACACCAGCTTTCACTGAAGCCTTATTACTCTTAAAAGAGCAATTTGGTTGGTTGCACAGCTATTAGGATCAGACAGACAGGCTTAAAGCTGTCAGTACAACTGCTTCTCATCTTTTTTCACAATCCTGACATCTTTCCTCTTTTCTGCTGGACACAAGCATTACTGTTTTTATCATTTTCAATCAAGCTCACGCTGCAAGCTGAGGAATATATTCCCACAGAAACCAAAGTGAGGAGCAGAAATTATTTTATAGCTACTGTAGTAGCAGCGGTGCCGGCTGCATGTTGTGTGGGAAAAACCGGATCAGTGAGAAATGTGGCTTTCCTCAGGGCTACATCACTGAGATATTACTTCAACGTCTGAGGAGAGCAAACCTACTCCTTGCTCTAATTTTTCAGTGATTAATCACTCCTTCTTGAGCAAACAGAAAGTGGGAGAGAAGATGTAAGATTTTTTTTTTTATATATTTTTTTAAAATAACTTGTGGAAATGTTATCATCAGTGAAAAGGGGGAAAATCACTATGCTTGAACTTCTTTTCATTTTGATGTTGCTCTTCTCTGGACCAACCCTGAGCAAGCTTAGCAGGACCAAAGGCAAACACTGGAAGGGGGGTAAGTGGAAAGGAAAAGTTTTTGTGATGGATGTCTGGCTAAGATTCTAAAAAAGCTGTATTAAAGGTAAGCTAAGGAGAATACCTGTGCTGTTTGGAGTGACTCAGATTTGAGGTTGCTGTGTGGGCTTGCTATAGGATGCTAAAAAGAGAGCATGGAGTTTAATTTGTTTTCTTGTTAGTTTGCTTGACTGACTCTGTAAGGCACATATTCCTTGCAGGAATTTTTCTTTGCCTTGCATCATTAGCAGGATAATGTTTAAGGCCTTTGTACAAATAAATGTATGATATTTAGAAATCGGTGTTTTTTCAGATTGTGAGAATTCAGATTGTTCTTTTCATTACGGAGCCTCTGGGACGCTTGTGGCTTTATTGGAAGGGCTGTTACCCCAATCATAGGGGGTTAAATGTTGGAGAAAGAGAGAGAAAGCAAGCAGCCTGTCTTGAGTCCAGAATTGTTAGTGTATGTGGCAAAAATGACTAGACAGACATTTTTTTTTTTAGAGTACATGAATGTTGTGAAATGCACTGCCAGCAGCACTAATTGGCTGACTGGCTATGTCAGTGTTGATGTGTTAATAAAGATAAATTGCATTAACTTTATAAAAAAAAAATGCTGTGTTGAGAAAACACTTATGATTTTTGAAGGCAGTAATCCATTTTCCTCTTCTGTTAAAAACTGCTGAGAAGATTTACCCTGTGTGTGCTGTGAACAGTTCACTAAATGTGCCTTTTCATAAAGTTCACTTTGTTTTGCTTCCTTGCATGACATTTGTTTATGGAAAACATGGGTTATTGAGGTCTCATAATCAAATATAACCCAGTGAGCATAAATGGTATCTCATGAATATTGGGACTGAAGGACTGTGGACTGTAGATAGCTTGATATTTTCTCCCTGGTTGTTTGTTGATGTTGCTGATTGGAGGCACCCCCAGGATTTTTTTTCCCTTTTTTTTTTCTTTTTTCCCCTTACAAGTGTTGCCACAGCATGGTGTGTTTATCACAGCTTTAATAGCACTTCCAGTTTCTCTCTGCTGTCAGTATTGTGATCTGAGGTTAAAGAGTAGCATCAACATTAAAAAGAAGTTTTAATAATTTATCACAACATCTCAGCAGGAGACTCCTCCCTCCCACCCCCCACCCCCCCGTATTTCCTTTTGTTGCATTTAATCTTCCAGCTACTGTACCTTCAAGGGAAAAAGTTGCAGCACATGTTTAACCTGGACTGTTGATGCAGCACAGTATATCTGAAAATTATTTCCTGATCCTGTAAATCACATTATCACATGTGTCTCACAGTGCTGCTGCTGGGTATCCTCGTTGCAAATTACAGGCTGTTATTTACTCTGGGCAGCGTGACCTCCTCTCAGAGGTATGTGGGTTAGGAATATAAGTCACTGTCAGGTTCCTGGGATTTAAAAAATGCTGTTAACTTTTTTTCCCCTTTCTCCCATTTTCAATTAAATCTGGTAAATGAGGGCTGTATTGCTTTGGTCTCTTACCTACTCCCTGACAGAGGTAAAGAGCTGCACTTAGGAATTTTTAGCATAGGTAGAAAATAATCCATGACTCTGACTGCAGAAAAAAAATATCTTAATACAGGTTTTTGCTTTTCTTGGAAGTGTTTCTTGCAGCTGAAACAAACTGTAAGGGAGATACCTGTTTCAAGGAGGCTAAGAAGCAATTTGTCTTGTTTACTCGAAGCTCTGAATCAGCAAAAAATTAGACAGAGCTGCTGTGCAGTAGTTTGCTTCCTAGGTAGATATTACAGTGAGAGCTGTGTGACTTGAAGATGATGCCTGGTTACTGGTGAAAGTTTCAAGTTCAGGATGTGTCAGAAGACAGGTGTTATAATGTCTGAGTGTTTCTGACCTCCAAAACGTAATGTATGCACCTCCCCTTTCCATTAACCATTAAGGATCAGCTTTTGCTTATGTATCAGTGATGTGAGTTTTTTATTGGTGTGCACACGGAATTCCTGTTGTCTCTTAGTGAGATTTCAGCATGCGAACTTCTCCACTGCAGCTCACTGGAAAGCCCATCCCAAAATGGAAACAGACTTTGTTTTTTTTTTTAATTATTTTCATTTTTAAGAGATTCAGGAGAGCCAGAGACCTGCATACCAACTTCCAGCTGTATTGTTCAGAGGGGAAGGGTGAAGATGGATAAATGCAGCTGGAAATGCACTGTATGACTCATAATACTACCTGTGCTGAAGTCAGTGTCCGTAGTGGACAGTAATAGCTGATTTAGACCATCCTCTAAAGTTTTTATGTACCACATTTTGTTCCAACAGTGCTGCAAAGTATAGGCATCTTTGGAAAGTGTTGCTCTTCTGTGGCTGGGTTGACCCTGATCATGATCAGTACAAGTGCAGGCTAATGAATCTGGAAATTTTTCTGGTATAATTAATGAAAAACATCACTGCTGAAGTTACAAGCCCTGAGAAGATATTTTCTGTGGTCTTGCTGTGTAGTTCTCCATTTATGACAAACTCACCTCTATCCACCTGTGTTTTTCTCCTTGGAATTCACTCAAACAGAAAAAAAAGAATCTATCCACATACAACTACATGAAAATGGAATTATGGGTAGAAACCACCTCCTGATTTAGTTTCAATGTCTGGTGTCAGGCAGTAAAATGAGTCCTATATGTGGGCCTGGAGAAAAGTAAAGATACTATTTTCTTCTCTAGGTGTTTTTAAGTCTGCACTTCAGAAAACCTTTCAGAATAATTCACTGGAATACAGTCTCTACAAGTGCTTTAAACCAGGATTTATAAACTAATGATCAAGATAAACTGGAGTCTGAAATCAGAACCTGAAAGTACAAATCAACTGCATTTTCTTTTTCCCTTTGAGCCAAAATAACGTACTGTGGTTCAAGTTTATAAGAAGGATTTATAATATGGAAACAAAAAAAAATAGAAAAAGGAGATTAAGTACTGTTTTGAGTTTACCTTAAATCAGAAAGTAGATTTCAAGCACTGCTAATGCCTATCCCCTTCTAAATTTGTTTCCACAGTGTTTTAACTCTGTCATATATCATAGTGAGGGGGGCAAAAGTGAGTTTTGAGTTCATCCAGCTGTATGCACGTGGATGTGCTTTGTGTCTGTCCAATGGCACCTGGAAGCATCTGTAGATTGGGAACAAGCCATCCATTTGTGTCGTGCTTGGAACCCTCCCAACACTTCACCCATACCAGCAACAAAGTAGTAGTAAGTCCTGACTAAGGAAAACTGGGGCAGTGATGGGAATTCACAGATCTCCTGGCAACAGCAGATGTCTCCTGGGTGTGTTCATTTTGTGTCATGCTGGATAAGCAGCACAAGCCAAAATGAGTGGGAGAAAGTGGTTGTGTCCACACTCACTGCAGGGACCACAGCCTGGTTGAGGGGCTGGCAAGGGCAGCACCCGTCCTGTGCTGTGTGTGGTGGGTGCTATCTCACCTGGCAAACAGCAGAATGCATGGGGAGAACAAAATCACACGTGATGCTTGTCTGCTGGTAGATGTCAGTGCGTTTTATAACTTTGTGGAAGGCTGTGCGACAGAAAGGATTCAGAGAAAGAGTGAGGACAACCCCTCTTGGAGGACATAAACCCTTTACTCACCTTGGAAACAACTCCCATGTTCCATCTGGGGCATAACTGTGCCCACTCAGACTGTTGGACACCTTTGAAGAACCTCACTCTTTACATGGTGGTCTCCATATAACAGGACCTGGTCCATCTTCCAACTGGAATGACTGAGACACTTTGGGATGGTCCTTGGGTATGATGTGAACCCCAATAGAGGAGCACAGGGAGACTGCACATCCCAGGGTGCCATGGCATAAGAATACAATCTGACAGCAATGATGGCAACACCCCCCAAGGGCAGAAAAGACCTTGAGGACTGGGGAGAGGAATTTGAGATGAAAAGACTTCAGAGGGAAGGGTCCTGAGCTGGAGCTGGGAAGTGCAGGTTAGGTATGCTTTCTCCCCAGAGGTTTGTTTGCTCATTTCTACCTCATACTTCTCCAAAAGGATTTCCATTTTCAGAACTTATAGTGTGATTTGATTTACTTGTGATAAAATTGGAGAAATAAAAATAAAATGTAACCACAGGGCATCAACCCAAAGAACTAGATGAGGGTGGTGACTGTCCTTATGGTCTACACAGAAGCGAAGCAATAATCTCTTTAATGACTAAATCAAAGTTTATTATGCAAGTGATCCAGCCTTATATTTCAGTTCCAATTTCAGCTCTATGGCAGTTTAATCATTTTTATGGCAAAAGGTACCAGTGTGAGAAATCTTAAGTGTCACTGGCTAGGCATTACTGGTAAGGGTGATACAAAGCTCTGTGTGTGAGATTGTCTCCCTATAGATTGAACAACACATGTATTATTTAAGATGAATGTAATCCATCAACATTATTTTAAATGTTTTTAAAAGCATAAGTAAAGGTTAACCAAGAAGAGAGAATTTCTATAAAGCTGCTTCCATACAGAAAGTAGATACCCCTCAGATCTTCCAAATTTGGAGGTAAAGTATTAGATTATTAGAATAATGGCTAGAGTATTAGAGTTGGAGGGCTGTTACCAGGCTGCTGCTGGTTGCATAATAGCTCTGGACACCCAGATATCTCAAGTACATGGATCTTTGCCTGCAGAACAACTCTGTGGTGCACACACACTGAGTTTGGTGAAAACAGGACCTTGAGACTTTGTGCATTTTTTAATGGAGTGCCTCTGCACAGTCACAAAGTCCCACACATCACAAGCACCGTGAATTGTTAGAGACATTTCGATGTCTTCTTGGCAGCCTCTCAGCAATACTGTTCACTTCCCCCATGGGGGAGCTTACAGAGCTTTTATTTTTTTTCATCGGGAGGTACTTGTTCTCATTTCTCTCACATCTGCAGGGTTGTGAGGATAAAGGGATGGAGGCTGGGACCTTTGAAGAAGGAAAAGTAGGAAGGAGGCATTTTTGTGGACCCAGGTAGCCTGGGTTTCAGTG